AATTTTCCACCCCATAAATTCATTAATTTCACGGTAAATACTGTTTCTGACAAAAATGTCCTTCTGTCGTTTACGAGCCACGATGTGTTTGTGCCTTTAAAAGGGCAGCAAACATTTTAGCTACAAGTAGCAGATTGCACTTTTTATCTCGGGATTCATAACACTTATTTTATCTACAACTGCTACGAAAATGTTCAAAAACACTCAATTTGGCATCCGTATACTTATATACTGTATACTGTATATTATAATATAAAATATATATACTGCACCCCTTCTACCAATCCACCGATTAGGAAATATTTAAATTAAAGTTTAAGGTTTGGACTAAATTTAAAAAAATGTTGTTGCTCAGTGTAACGTTTTCGACATTAAATCAAGCCCTGGCAAATTATTCAAATTACTAAATGGCTCAGTTCGTTTTTAGTGGGTGGGTATTTGCCAGATGTTTGAAATTACTCCCCTGCAAAGAAGAATTAACATTATTTTATCGGCATTATGATGAACGCTTATGATTCACGCATTGAGGTTTTAATATGGTTAAATTTACGGTCTCAAATTATCACAGCCTGTTTGTCACAACTAATTATAAAAAGTATACAAATTCCATAATAATAATACAGAATGTATTAATTAATAGTATATTATGTATCAAGTTTGATAAACGCCATTTTATACACGAGGAACTATACGTTTTCTACGACAAATACTTTTATTATCTTAAAATGATTTAAATCAAAAATTTGGATAGAGCGCCATCTATGAAACAATAGGGGAATCTGTGTGTTACCGTCAAATGTCACATTTTTGTATTTTATAAACACAGAATATAAAGGTTATAAATCGAAATGTATTCCTTGAAAATTGTCAGTTTTTCACAGTGAAAGTAAAGGCGAAATTACAATGTACAATGTTCATATAAACTTTTCAAATATTGGCGTTGAGAAACTATTTAATAGTTTTGTATTTTTGTATTGAGATAATAAAATAATTTTCACATTTAGTATTATTTAACAAGAAAGGCACTTTATTTTAACGATTGGATGACATTTGACTTCAAACTAACTTCAGCCCGTGAGTAAAAGTAAAGCCACAACTTGTCAATGTGTATTTAAAAGGTCGCTTAGTGTCATAGAAATATGTACGATAAAGTAGAAAAAATAGTTTTTTTTAAGTAAATTATTCAAAGCGGTTTTTTACAACCCTCTTTCATCCCCAAATCCTTTTAAACGTACAATTGAAATACTCGTTAATGCTTTATAGTCGTTGCTAAATTAAAATAAAAATTCCAAAAACTACGTCGCCCATAAAAATATGTATGATGTTTAAAATGAATTAAATGAACTATACTCCTTTCAAGTTATCTACAATTTCCAGTTCATTTAATACTTTGTTTTAAATTTGAAGCGAGATATTTTGTCTTTTTTACCGTTTAAAATGTATTAAAAAGGATAAAAACCTTAGACAATAAAAGATAGCGGATACCTATCAAATCGTTAAAAAGTTTGAACCAAGTGGGTGAATATATTGCACTAATGCAAGAATTTTAAGAAATCATACATTTTGATTATTAGAGCTTCACGGAGGTTAGGATTTCGCATGTTTTTTTTTAAACATCCCTTTTGACACCTTAATATTTTTTGAAAATACAATTGTACATACATAAAATATTTATAAAAAAATCTACTTACTGAGATATTACACTTCACGGTGGATAGGTTTTTAAATAGCAAATTAATGAACTTAAACTTTTTAAATATAAAACAGCAACACTCTCATCTGTATATACATTTTAACTGACCTTCAGGATTCACATGCATCCATAATGTCGTAAACAGAGGTTTTTGCTTATTTAAAATGATTAAAGCGCCATACGAGGCATAAAATTTAAAGCAAAAACAGATTCACGGAGGATAGAATCAATTTTTGTAACACCTACAATGTAGGTCCTACATAAATGGTTATAAAATTATTTCTTTTAATTTTTAATAATATTTTATATTTGATTCGATTGCTTTGGATGTGTTTAATTTACTTAGTGAACTGATATTTTTAGTATGCTTTTACTACCTCAGATATTTGAAAACATATAGGTTGACCTAGAAAGAGTAACAGTCACGGAGGATAGGTTTTAGACTTTTAAAACATTGTAAAAAATAATTAAATGCGGTTAAAAATCTGTAACAACAAAAGTGTAGGTGAAAAAAATATCAAATGTTAATTAAATTGAATCTAACAATTATTTCTTTAGAAACCTTTCAAAATGTAAGTAGAATTGAAACAAGGAAAAGTCATTCAATCTAATTGACGCCATAAAAGTGTCTGATACAATTGATTGATGGTCCTGAAATGTATAAAATCTTTTTAACTAAAGAAGTTAAACTTTTACGCAAAAATAGCCAGGCCGATAATTAATGGAAAAAATTTAACAAAATTATCACAAGGGAAATTTTATAAATTAAATGAATTTTTTTGAAATCAAATGTACAAAGATTAATTATCAAAAGTGTTTTTTCACATAAATCATCAATTAATTTTTAAAGTGACTCAGGGTTTTTTAGTCAACTATGTAAATTGAATCGATTTTTACAAAGTTAAAAAATATATGAAGAGACTTTTAGATTAAAAAATAGACAAGTATAAAAGGAAAACTATTAGATATATTAATATATCAATAATTATTTTATAGTCCGGTCAAATTAGACCAAAAAATAACAGTGAAGGTACATAAATTTACAACAGGCTGAAAATCAGTAAAATTGTTCAGAATATAATTATAAATAAAATTTTAAAGTTCCCCATCATTCCCCTGTATGGAAAAAGTTTTATTCAAGGTCAAATGTCAAAAAATTAGTTTTTCGCGATTTTCAGCAAAACGGGAAGTTTTATCACAAAAATATCTCTGACAAAAATTGTAGATCATAAAATTGTCTATAAAAAATATATTGATACTTTTTTTCCTAAGAGCCACCGTTTCTGAGATATAACGATTCGAAAAGTTATAATCGTCATAATATACATGAGTACTTCACGTATATACATCTCTAGAGTTTTAATATATGTTAATATATTTTTATATCGGTCATTTTCACTTACACTGGGTATAAATTAATTAATTTATACGCCATCGAGACAACATATGTGACAGATGACAGATGATCTGTCATCTGTCAACTTGACATCTGTCACCTGTCATCTGTCACCTGTCATCTGTCACCTGTCATCTGTCACCTGTCATCTGTCACCTGTCATTTGACCCTGTCAAATGCCACCTGTCATTTGCCACCTTATCGATTTGATTTCGGGGATTTTAATTGGTTAACTTTTTTAAATACACAACAAAAATTAAACGGGCTTCTGGCCGATTAGTTTTCATTCGATGAAGCTCATCTTTTAGTATGTCAAACTTTGGTCTTTTACCCGTCGATTCGTGTATTTCGTTCGGCCAATTTCGAAAATTTCTCTCGACCTAAAAAACGTTTAAAATTTTTTCGAAAAAAATAAAAAAAGATTGAAAAGTTTCCGGCGGATCCGGCCCATTTGCAATATTTATTTTTTCCGTTGTCTACTAGTCTGTATATTCTTTTTTTTCTAAGCTCGGAGGCCGTTGAAGGCGGACACTCGAAATTTGCATCCTTTTTTCTGCCCACGAGACCTATCCGCGGACCAAATTTTTCCGCTGTTGAAAAGGCCCAAGTCCACTTTTTTTCGATTTTTCCGTCAAATTTGGCACGTTCCGTTGTCTTCGGCCAAACTCGAGGAAAAGGTGCTTCGGGACAAGAAGTTATCACCAACGGCATTCGATTTCTTCTTTCTATATACGGAGCTCCTAAAATAACTACCTGCTTTGATAAGTATCGATATGCATGTTTCGTTAAAAATACTAAAATAAAAAACAAGTTCAATTAGCTTGTCTTCCTCCAACCTCAGTTGCTGCTCATCAAAATATTTTTCGGGTATATTACCAAGTTCAAGTGTGGCTTGGTTATCAGCTAGACCCTACAGACTGGGGTGGGAAGTTGGTCAACAACCCATTAGAACTAGTTCAAACTTTACTCCCACCTGCGCCGGAAAAAATGCTGAACACAATTTTTTGCAACTGCAAAAAGGGATGCAGTGCTAAATGTGGTTGCAAAAAAGTCGGACTGTTTTATTCTCTGGTATGTACGAATTGTCAAGGCCGGTCGTGCTCTAATGTTGAATCACCAACAGTGGAGGATTCATTTAATTCCAACGAGGTGACATGCGATACATCGCTACTGACGCAATTTACTTGTACCCAGGATGAAGATGAACAAGAACAAGTAGAATAATAAGAAGAAGAATTTAAATGTTACGAATCAGACTAATTAACTTCAGTACTTTTTTTTAATTTACATCGCTTTTATCTTTTCCAATCATTGCTAATTTCCGTTATTTTGCAATAGTTTCAAATTAAACAGGATCACAACTGACCCGTGGAATAGGCTACTGGGGAAACCACGTTAAAAAACGCGCTAAGTACACTACCTCATGGGTGGGGTGGAAACGTGTGCATATTATGACGATTATAACTTTTACAACTTTTCGAATCGTTATATCTTAGAAACGGTGGCTCGTAGAAAAAAAAGTATTGATACATTTTTTATAGATAATTTTATGATCTACAATATTTGTCTGGGGTATTTTATGATAAAATTTACCGTTTTGCCGAAAATCGCAAAATCGCATTTTTTTGACCTTTGACCTCGAATAAAAATTTTTCCATACAGGGGAATTATGGGGAACTTTAAAATTTTATTTATAATTATATTCTGAACAATTTTACTGATTTTCAGCTTGTTGTAAATTTATGTACCTTCGAATGTCTAGATTGACCGGACTATTATATAAATGATAGGTATATAAAATAAAATAAATGTTAATATTTACATTTTTATTGTTTACAGTATAATACATCAATAAATTAAGTTATTTTTACACTTTAATATAATTTAATTTCAAATAAGAATAACACCTACCAAAAATCTAGATTTAAAATTAATTGAATAAGTTCTAATATAAATAATTAATGAAATTTTTATTAAATAATATTGTTAATTTTCTCTTTTTTATTTTGCTTCCAAAAAATACAAAAAATAATTTTTGGTGGGTGTTAAAGATCTTGTAGAGTTACTGTATTTCATTAATGATTATATACAAAAATATATACAAAATTTATACACGATTATAAGGTATTTGAATTAAGTATTTCATCTATTTAAAACTGCGAATAAGTTGATAATAACTGCCACCAAAATTCCAAAAAATAGGGCGTGAGACACGTCGCTGGAATTTGCATGCAACATGGCAGCTGGATTTTCCTCTGTTGAATAAATAAAAACGTAATTAGCAATGTTGCCTTTATGTTCTAAATGTAAATAAATGTTGACAAAATCACTTGGCAAACAGGCAATCAGCTGCAGTACCATCTAATTACAGATAAGCCCCAGTGTATAATATTTACTCATATGTTTTTAGTGGTGTGTTTTATGTATACAGGGTATAATTATTAATAAAAAAATCATTAAAAAGGATGACACCCTGTATTATTCCAATGATAAAATTTTTATTTAAAAAAAAATATTATAAGAATAGTTCTGTGGGAATATTGCTTAAATATTGAATAAAAATATGTACGAATAACAATGTTTATTCACGAATAAATATACGTATATTTTGGTAAACAAAACATTTTTATTTAAAAAAGAAAGTAAACAAAAATTAAATACTAAATAACAAGCAAATAAAGGCTTTTTCACATAGAGATATAAGATATATTGGACTTTACGTGGGCATATATGAAATATCTCAGTTAGTGTGCTAAAAAATGTTTAAAATAAAAACCACGTACGGAACGCAGTCTTTTGAAAATTTGGCATTTAAGGCTTTTCAGGTTATGTATCCGTCAAAGTATAGTCAATGAAAGAAATAATATTTAAAGTGTTACCGCTTATGTTTAAACGTTAAAAGTAAATAAATCTTTATAGTATCACAACAACAATGGTTGGTTTAAGAATTTAGGAATATAAATACTGCATTTAATGAAATGCAATATAAGTGATATTTTTATGCATTGGGTCCACATTTCTCCATAAAATATTTTTAACTAAACAGCATTTATTAAAAAAATCTTATTATGAAATAGGAATATCTGTATCAAAGGTAGGTTAATGTATAAGAACAAAAAATATCATCTAATTTTGTATTTTAAGGTTAGAAAAATCTATTTTGACCAAAATAAATAAGTGGATTATTTGAAAGAGTGTGTTAATATGGTCATAAATAAATATAGGTATACTAAATAATTGTTGAATATAGTTCAAATTAAATTGAAGCTTTTATACTTCTAACGACAAAACTTGTGCATACCTCTCGACATACTTACTTTAAGTTAGATTATAAGAAAACAAACAATTTTTAGAGAAACTTGCAATGTGAAAATATTTAATACTCCCATGACATGTGATTTATTAAAATTTTTAAAGTTATAATGATTTTTTGATGTAGATCAAATTCAGTCGAAGCTTTTTAACTATTTGTATTGACAAAACTTTATGTAGGTACACTTTGAGCTGGATAAGAAAAACTACCACATTTTTAAATACCATATTATACAGTCTTTTAAATAATCCAAAATACTTATTTATTTTGGTCAAAATAAATTTTTCTAACCTTAAAATTACAAAATTAGATGATATTTTTGTTATAATGTATTAACCTACCTTTAATACAGATATTCTTATTCCATAATAGAGAAGCTAGATTTTTTTAAATAAATGCTGTTTAGTTAAAATTATTTTATGGAGAAAACCAGATATTTGGACCAAATGCATACACTTTAAAATTTCATTAAATGCAGTATTTATATTCTTAAATTCTTAAACCATCCATTGTTATTGTAATGTTATAAAGATTTAGACATTTTTAAAGCCTAAACATAATATTATTTCTTTCATTGACTATACTTTGACAGATACATAACCTGAAAAGCCTTAAATGCCAAATTTTCAAAAGACTGCGTTCCGTACGTGGTCACGTGGTGGGACTTTGAGGTGTGGAGAATAGTACCATTCTCCAATAATTTTTGGATAAATATTTGCTCTACGAATTTTTTTTTTTGATGATCTGTTACTTTTGACATCTGTCATTTCACGCATCTGTCAATCCTGACAGATGCAATTTTTGACACCTGTCATTTTTGACAGCTGTCAAAAAATATTATTTGGTGGAATGACTAACATATGCAACTAACTGCTTACCTTCTGTTGCGTTCAGCACATGTACATTTATGTACGCTGGAATTGCGTTTGACGGATAGCACGTGTAGTTTCCGTTGTGGCTTGTGTCAGCTTCATTCAGCTGCAAGACGCTGTTACTTTTATCAGCTTCGACCGATACACCCGGATCATGGTTGATCATTCTTTGCTCGTGATACCAGAAAACATATTCTGGTATCTCGGTGGATTGCCTTAGCGTGCAAACCAACCTTAACAACGAGCCTGCTTTGATATGTAGATCTGGGGCGCCCACTATTTCCGCCGAAGCCTCTGTAACAATGAGATTTTCATCATTATTATTTTTATAAATGACAAAAATAAATACCATTTTAATCAAATTTTCATTGGAAATCTTGTTATACCACAGACCGTCCCAAGCGTTTGAAGGCAGTAATTTAATAATCCCATTAACAATTAACGCGACCTATTTCTGCATTGCGATGTAATGCGAAATAATCCACAATGTGCTGTGAAATTGGACCGAGAGGCAACTATTAAGCCATTTAAATAACATTATTATTATTTTTTTAATAAAATTCCTACACTGTTAAAATTTCTATTGTAATTTTACTAAACATGTTTAGGAAGTCTTTTGAAATTCACTAAGCATTTATTAAAAATTTGTTCAGTAACATTACTATACAGATATTGTAATTTTGCTTAAAAAAATACTAAATATGATTAGTAATTGTAAAGTAATTATACTACAAAAAAAAAACCTGCAATTTTCTTAGTTTCTTCAAGAAACTTTCTTGACCCATTACTGTAAAGATTTAAAAAAATTTAAGCTACCTCGCCAGAGTTTTTGTTTTAAGTGCGTTCCACCAACTACAAATACCGACAGACAGCTAGACAGATATACCTATTTTGGGTCGTATCAATGTCGGGCAATTTGGTGTATTGGAACACACCAAAACCGAAAGACACCTGAGCTTATATACTGTCCACCTAAGTCAACCGAGGCGAGATGTAAGAACATCACGTGATTGCCGCAATCGGTACATACTATGCATTTTACATAACATTATAGCAACTCAAATTACAAACAACGTTTGTAAATCTGAGATGCTTTTTATTAGAAACTGTCAAACTGTTTAGTAAAATTACAATGCGTGTAGGATTTATACGTAGAGATTATAAAATTACATCTTATCTTAGTATTATAATTTTGTATTGGTATGCACTGATTTGTAATTTGACTCATCCTTTGTTTTGCAAAACAATTGTAATTTTACAAAAAAATTTTAACAGTGTACATGATTCAAATGAAATGTACTAAAAATGCAAACTTGGTGAAACCCTGTATATGTAAACCTAAACTTGCTAAGGGTTTATTTTAATTATCAAACCAAATACATAAACAGATAGAATCGGGCTTTTTCCAAACACAAATATTTAACTTTGCCTGTTGAGTTGAACGTGCCGCATTTAATTCTATTTAAACTGTATTCGTTTATTTAAGTTATTTTCGTTGTGTTCAGAAAATTGCGCAAAATTGAATTCAATTATATGCAAAAATGGGATTTAAATGAGTTTAGATTATTTAAGATTATTTCCGTTCTCGACCATCGGTATTACGTTTTATAAGATTTATATAATAAAACATAAAAAGGCAACCCTAGTGGAAAAAAATATCTTGGGTTCAGAGAAAAAATATCTAAGACCGTATCAATAGATAGGAAAGTCGACTTTATATATTATATAGTAGCCTATTGAGTTTTGTTCAAATGTCAGCAAAAATGGCATATGCTTGACCGTTACCATCATTTTGCTTCAGTATATTACAAATGAAATGGCCTGTGTCCAAATTTATCCATTTTTTGTTTATGTGTAATAAAGTGGAATTTATTAGGCACATCTAATTTAAATTTAAAATAAAACCATTTTGTCTATATACTTCAAAAAATTTTGTTTAACAAAACTGATAATACAAGTGATTATAAATTGCCATTGTATAATGGATTTGACAAAATAATTAAATATCAATTTAATTCAAACCATCTAGCTTAATTTATAATCGAATTCACTCCAATAGCTGATGTAATTAGCAGATATCAATGTTAATATTTATAACAATCCATTTATAAATTAAATTGTAATATAATCCATTATCCCTGTTCAACGTTATAAAATAAATAACAAAGGAACTTTATTTAACGCTTTTAGCTTAAACTTTTTATTAGATGTGACAAACTAGAAAGATTTTGGACGTCTAGTTTTAAAACTAGTGGCAATAAATTTATCTCTGGAAACATTGACTCGCCTCAAGCTGGGCTGTTTCAGCTAGGGACTGCAACACTAGCTTTAAAAGCAAATTTTAATTTCAACTTAAAAGGCAGTTACAACAATAGTTAAAGGATGCGGGAAAATGTAACCCTTTTAAACAAGTTGCTAGAATTACTAAATTAGTCAAATTATATTCATTCGTTTCCACATATTTTTTCTCAAATTTCTTAAATTCTCAAAAACATAAATTCGTTTTTAAAACTTTAAAATATATACACATATACACTGTTAAAAATGTTTGTAAAATTACTACATTTTTACTAAGCAGTTGAATAGTACAATAGTTACAAAATTTTGTATTGTATTGCAATTTTACAATTTTTTTTTTGTCAGATACTTATAGTAATTTTACAATTCTGTATTGTAGAATTGAATTTGAAATTTTGTAAGATAATCAATAAAATTACTAGCCAAAATTTGCTATTTTAATTACAATAAGTGTTTGGAAATATACTCATTATTTATTTAACACAACTTCTGTTTGCATTTTTACTATATATCATTTTAATCATGTACAGTGTAAAATTTTTTTGTAAAATTACAATTGTTTTGCAAAACAAAGGATGAGTAAAATTACAAATCAGTGTATACCAATACAAAATTATAATACAATTTGAGTAATTTTCTAAAACATGTTGGGAAGATAAGTTGTAATTTTACAATCCATATGTATAAATCTTACACGCATTGTAATTTTACTAAACAGTTTGACAGTTTCTAATAAAAAGCATCTCAGATTTACAAAACTTGTTTGTAATTTGATTTGCTATAATGTTATGTAAAATGCATAGTACACTGTTTAAAATATCTGTGGTGTAAAAAGTAATCTTAAAATGGTGTCAAAATCCAACACCAAGTTGTTCGATACTAAAGAGACCTTAAATAGGTGGAAACAGCTGTCAATACTTAAAGTATTTTAAGTTAGTGCAACGCACTAAAAACATTATCTCTAGCGAGTTGAAGGTTCGATTTTCTGGAATAATACCACTGGTAATATACTAGTAATGCGTCAAGGAACTTCCTGTTTCCTTTTTTTTCCTTTTTTCTGTGTAGTATGATTTAATTTGTCCACAAACACATAATATTTAACACTGAAAAGGAGTTTAATTTACACCAAATAAAATTTATTTTAATACTGTGTAAAAGATAAATTAACACCATTTTAGTATTTGAATTTACACCGGTCAACGGACCTTATTTAACACCATTTTGGTTTGTATCGATATAGACCATGTTTGGTGTTAATTTGGTGTTAAAATGGTCATGAAATTTTGAACAGTGTATGCACCGAATGATGTTCTTACATCTCGCCTCGGTTGACTTAGATGGACAGTATATAAGCTCAGGTGTCTTTTGTTTTTGGTGTGTTCCAATACACCAAATTGCCCGACATTGATACGACCCAAAATAGGTCTATATATCTAGCTGTCTGTAGGTATTTGAAGTTGGTGGAACGCACTTAAAACAAAAACTCTGGCAAGAAGGTTTAATGTTTTTTAATCTTTACGGTTAAATATCTCAAAAACAATTGACTGTTTCTTTGATAATCAAATTAAAATGACGGTTTACCTGTTACTTTAAGACGTATCAAAATACTTGTAGTGGGATGTGTAGACACTTGGCACTCGTATACACCTGCATCCGAAGGCTTTACGTGTTTAATAATTAATCCCCAATTTTGCAAGTGACGTGCATGTTCTACCAAATACCTTTCGTCCGCAATGTAAGTGGCCAACCCAACTGTTAAGATAGTTGGCGGTGAATCTTCTTTTCTAATCCAGGAAACCTGTAATGAAGATAAAAACCAGTTTTTACCATTAGGTTTGATTGGTCAGCACGCAGTCTGGATTTGAATACCATTGAGCAAATTGACGTACACCAGCTAAAAGAAGTGTGGGAATTGATGTTTGTTATTTTTAAAGTGTTTAGCATTTACCATTGAGTTAAAAAAATATATAAACGTTTTATAAAGGTTTTATTAGTTTCGTTAAGAGATATTTTGTTATATTTTTTCAACAAGTACTTTATTAAACCAAAAAGAAAACACATTAAATTTGAACTAAGTAAATGCGCTGTGGTCCCATCTGTGTTGAGGTCAAGTTTGAAAGTTAAGTTTTGTATCGGGCAAACTTTAACCCTGAGTGTCAGCACTCCATGGAGTTATTTCGGTAATTAATTTCCTTAAAAGTTTTGCTATTATGGAATATCAACTTGGAACCGAGATAAGATTTCCATACTCCACACATTTTAAGAACATTTTTTGTAATTTTTCTAAAACCCATCCTCCGTGACTGTTTTCAAATATCTGAGGTAATAAAAGCATACTAAAATTATCAGTTCACTAAGTAAATTAAACACATTCAAAGCAATCGAATCAAATATAAAATATTATTGAAAATTAAAAGAAATAATTTGTATAATCGTTGATGTAGGTGTTACAAAAATTGATTCTATCCTCCGTAAATATGTTTTTGCTTTAAATTTTATGCAACAGATGGCGCTTTATTCATTTAAATAAGCAAAAACCTCTGTTTACGACAATATAGATGCATGTAATTCCTGAAGGTCAGTTAGAATTTATATGCAGATGAGATTGTTGCTGTTTTATAATTCAATGTTTTTAAATTGTGGTAGAATAGAGTTTAGTTTAGTTTGTGTCAATATACAGTAAACATTATAAAAAGCTGAAAATTAATGCATAAACTAATCTAATTAGCATAAAAATTGCATGAAATTTCAACCTTAACATTTTTAACAACAGTTGACATGAATTACTAACGTGCGCCCTTAATGTTAATCGAAGCAAAACCTCTAATTTACTATTGATTAATAATTACAAACTAAATGGCGAAAGCTGTATGGTTACTTTTTAGATTAAAAGGTGCCTTTTTTAATAAAAGGCTTCTGGAACAAAAAAAATATTTAAAAATACAATATCTATAACAATAACGGTTTATACTCCACTAAGAAAGTTTCTAAGTATTTTTTCAAATTTTTTTACCCAACCAAAAAAAGTTACCTTATGCGCAGTCCATAGACATACCATAGACATATTAATATGTCCACGTATGATACGAATTGTCAACTAAATAAAATTTAGGTTATATTAATATTTTTTAAATTATTTGTTTACATCGCCTAGGTTAAGATTACATACATTTTTTTTTTTTTGAAGATAGCTTTACGGAGGATAGGATTTCGTATGTTACTTTATACATCCCTTTGTATATTTAAAATAAGTTATTGTATCTTTTGACACCTTAATATTTTTTAAAAATACAATTGTACATACATAAAGTATTTATAAAAAAAATCTACTTACTGAGATATTACAGTTCACGGTGAATAGGTTTTTAAATAGCAAATTAATGAACTTAAACTTTTGAATTATAAAACAGCAACACTCTCATCTGCATATAAATTCTAACTAACCTTCAGGAATCACATGCATCTATAATGTCGTAAACAAAGGTTTTTGCTTATTTGAAATTATTAAAGCGCCATCCGTTGCATAAAATTTAAAGCAAAAACAGATTCACGGGGGATAGAATCAATTTTTTATATTATTTTATATACTTAATTTATTTAAAGTACGATATTTTAATCAATAGGTGTAAGACAAACTTTTTTATTGTTATAAACTATAACAATAAACCTTATATAATGTATTTTCAAAAAAAAACACAATATTGTCCTATTTCTAGGGGAAATGTATCACGGAGCGAACTTTTCAAAACGACAGCCATTCGTGAAAACTTTCAAAAGCCACTTAGGTCTTTTGAAGCGTGCAAATACTCTAAATAGGAGGTATCCCTTACTTTATTAGCTTTTCAAAGTAGAAAAAAGTAAATTAAATTATTGATTCTGTGAATTAATGAATTTATACAGGGTGTTACCTAATAAATTGTCATTCTTTGGGGGGATGATAGTTCAAGGCAAAACAAGAAAGTTTTTCCTTTATGATTTTTGAATTAGAGCTACTGATTTTTAGTAAAAAAATTATGAAATTTTTTTGACAAATGCCATCATAACCATCCGATTTATGGTATATGCATATATCAGAATTCATCCGGGTATGATGGCAAAAGCGACACATCACAATTTTCAATATTTAACTTACCACCCCATTGTTGATTTTCCTTATGACACATGGTAGTTTGGCTGTTCCCCCAATTTGAGCTACTACTGAGGTGGAATTTTCCGTTATGAAAATAGCACCTGAATGGTGGCCTTTTAGGTGATTACCCATTTGGTCCTTGTTTCTCCTTGACTCATAACTTCTTTTCAATCGAGTATAGTCGTGATCTGCAAAAAAATTACGTATAAACATTTATTGATTAATTTTTAATGAAAAATCTCTCTTGGTATTAAAATTCCATTAATTTAAAATTTGTCTGTCAAACTCTATTTGCATCGTGATGCTTATTGATTAAACTTCTTTGAAATGTGCTAACGTTTTATGAAATTTTTATAATTAAAGTCGTGAAAGGAGCTCCACAAAAAATTTGACTTTCCGTCTCATTTCTCAGCATTTTATTCAGCTTCAAAAATCAAATTAAAGTCTGAAATATTTTTAAAATTTAGCGAACAAAATTGTTTTGATATTTTGTTATTTTTAAAAGGTTTTCCCAAGTAAATTAAAGTGCAATTGTATACAAATGTTTATTTGACATTACTCTTCATAAAAAGGTTGTTTTTCTTTTTTCTTAAAGCCGCAATAAGTGATTGGAAGTGCCAATGTTACAGAGTCAATAACATTTTTTTTTACCAAGACCAACAATATTTGCATCATGATATAAAGTACATATGTTATGTGCTGATTTCAACAACGAAATCTGTTGCTTCCGCAAAATATTAAAACTTTTAGGCAAATATTTTTTATTTACTTTGCTTTGACACATAAAATATCTGCCACGACGATACTAAACGTCGCGACGGTTTCCACAGACAACCCAACAAATCGAACTGTTATAAATTTCAAACATCTCTGCACATATTTGAGGCAAAACGATTTTTATAATCTTTGATAAATCGTCTACGTTTATCAAGTTTTTATTGTGACACATGTGTTTCAATCCAAGTGATCCAAGAATGTATAAAACATACAGGGTGTTTCACTTTTTATAATTTTTTTGAAATGAGTTTTTTTCTTACTTTTTTACTCTTCTGAAGGTACCTACTACCAAAGTTATTAATTTTTAACCTGAGCCTCGACCACTTTTAAAAAAAAATTAGAGAAAGAGAGAAAATGACATAATTTTTTAATATTTGGATTATATGAATTGTGAAATAGTCAATAAAATTGATTGATTTTTTACGTGGAATACCCAGCAACATTTAAATTATTTGAATTTGAAACGACCGCAATTTAAACTAATATTTATAGCTAGATGATTGGCTCAGAAGCATGCCTGAACTAATTTAGACTCACGATTGGCGTTAGCCTTGTTGTCTCGTTCTATTACAATGCGATATCATAGTTGTCTCCTTCTCTCGTATTAGCATACGCGAGGCAGGCACGCCTACATCCAAGGAAATAAGCAGGTGTTGTGGCAACACTGTTGCGGAATTTTAGATAAATTATACTTCACACGTTTTTCAAAATTCAATAATAAATGGTATTATTTTTCTTATAATAAATCGATTTAATCGAAATTATATTTCTATTCTAAAATAAACATATTTTAACACTATCGCCATCTTGTAGCCATCACAGTAACCAATAAAATAAATACAGATTCCTTCTTTAGGTTTGTTTTGGTTATAAAATTCTGAACTGTTTAAAGAACAAATCTGTGGTTATTTACGCAATATTTTGTTTATTCTTTTTCTATGTTTGTCTATTTTATGATTCTTTTGTAAGTGGTTTATTCTGTGGGTTTAGTTAATTGAACTTGGTGATTTATGTGAATTTAGTTATTATGGATATTACGGTGAGAAATTGTACCGATATTGTTGATCTTCACGTGAAATATTAATTAGACAAAAATTAGGTAAAAATTTGAAAGCTATAATATAAATAAAATCAAATTTAAATTTCCATAATCCATTTAACATAAATTTCTATAAAGTCATGGTATAAAAAATGTAATAATGGTTAAACCAGGCGTCTTGTTAAGTCAGCATGAAACATCACTGACAGCCATAAGGAAGATATATGGGTTTTATAAGTTGTAAACTATAATTATTCCTGGCTGCAAGTCTAAAAAGTAGTTCAAATTTGTCAGGAGGGTGCAATATATACTCTATCAGTCATTCTCGTATCAGCTGCTACATGAGTTTTTATGCCTAGGCTAAATTAATAACCTGTTTATGAAGGCAAGACGAATTACTTAGCATGTTAGCAAATGGGTATAAATTAGAATTTAAATTTTACACATTGCATCTGACTTATCTTGTACGGCAACACAGGTATACTGATTATATGAGCAGTATAATTTTCTCGAACAATATTCGGGTAGTGTATAACGTCGTAAATTTACTACAATTGCCCCAAATCATTTACAACTGATAGAGGACGGAATTCGCAGATTACACAGGGCTAGCACCCCATAAATTTGTGACAAACGCTTTCACGGTTCTCATTCATAATATTAAGGGTAAACTTCATCAGTTTGTATGCATTTTATTGCTAAAGTCCAGATGAAGATTAAATGTTAGACGTGTTTTATGAGCTCGGCGATTTTTCGTTCGTTAAAAGAAATGGATCAAAGAATTTGTATCCAATTTTGCTTAAAAAATGAAATAAATTCTGTGAAATGTTAACAAAGGCCTATAGTGAGTCTGCTATAACTAAAACAAGAGTTTACAAGTGGTATAAGAGTTTACAAGATGGCCGTGAAGACGTTGAAGATGACGAACGCACAAGCACATTAACAACCGATAAAAACATGGAAAAAGTGGAAGAAATGGTTATAAACCATCAGAGAAGTCGCTGATGATGTTGGTATATCGATTGGCTCATCCCATGAAATTTTTTCGAATATTTTGTGTATGAAACGCGTGGCAGCAAAATTTGTTCTAAAATTGTTAAATTTTGAACAAAATTTTTGGCCAAAAACAATACTGTAATGATGCCACAGCCTCCATATTCGCCAGACATGCCCCTGTCTGACTTTTTCCTATTCCCAAAAATAAAGAGAACCTTAAAGGGCCGTCATTTTGCAAGCATAGATGACATTAAAAGCGCATCGCTGAAAGAACTAAAGGCTATCCCAAAGATCGAGTTTTATAAGTGTTTCGAGTATTGGAAGAAGAGCTGGCACATGTGCATAATATCCAATGGGGACTATTTTGAAGGCGACAATATTAATGTAGACGAATAAATAAATATTTGTTTCAAAAAACGAAAATTCCCGATACACACCTCGTACCTACTTTATTTATATTGACCAGAACTTATGATTAAAGTTTTCATTTTCTTGAAACGAGGAAACAACTTTATTTGAAAGTTTAAACAAAGTACGTCGCGATATGGCCGTCTGCCACGTTTCAGTGGGTCAACGAAAAACAATATCCTGAAATGGGATGCCGTATATTTTATTTAAAAGTGTCGGATCGATATTTCGGTATTACCTAGCGGCTACTGCACAGACTTGTTAAGATTAAGACTTTTAGGAAGTTTTCAATGGGCAAGTTTTCAGTTGATTAGAAAGTTTGGGATTAGGGTCCAACATATTTCAATTAAGGATTAAGATATGTTGCTTTGTTAGCTCAGTAAGCAACAAAAGAAATACTATAAATTCTTTGTCTTGTTTACTGAAAACTTTTTTATTTTGTTAATGTTATGGAGATGGAGGGTTTGGGAAAACTCCTTTGGAGGAAATAAAACGACTCTTGAGAATATTTTCATTTCAACAATGTTCATTTTTTGTTCAAGAGAATTCTGTAATACTTTTTAATTTCTTGCTGGATTTGATATGTATATGTATATGGGTGATTCTACAAAAGTTGGACAACTTGATGTCATCAGTCAATAGAGTAGGTATTTTAATATTTTTTCTAAATATTTTAGTATATTACAAAAGATCCAGGTTTTTTTAACTTGTCCACCCAATTTTAATGTATTCAGTACCTAAATCAAATATTTGAGTGATTTTATTTTAAAATATATTCAATTTATCTTAAATTTTTCAATTTCACTACAAACAATAAAAATATTTTTCATATTCGAATAATAGCAATTTTTAAAAATTGATAATCTTTGTACCTACTTTTACCCGTCAGTTCTGTGTCCAATGTTAAAATTCAAAATTCCTGCGAAATATTGAAGTTTAAACGTCAAGTCCTCGTTTTAACTCGAGTGTTGGTAAAAAATTACCTACAGAGCCCGCCCTTTGCACGACAGTCATCTTGAAAACAATGCAAGCGGCGAAGTTGTGGTGAATGCACGTATAGTTCCAGTCAAAATTTCAGTACTGTGGTGAGTAGTTATTTTCTTACGTATACCTATATATTTCATTGTAATTTATATAAGGCTATATGTGATTTGTTGATAAGTAGCATCCACTAATAAAAAATATCAGTAAAATACTTAATTCCGAATTTTAATCTCAAATTTGTATCCCATTCATCAGTACCGTGTCGTCAGTTCCATGTTCGATGTTTCGGTTATCTTTTTTTCGCAAACAATTTAAATTCTGCCTGCGCAGAACTTGTTTATTTAATGTCATTATAAACTCAGATAAATTTGGTGTGGGTCCATGGGCGCCGCTACATAGGGGCAGGGGGGGGGATCGGCCCCCCCCCTGGAAATTCATACCCAGAAATTCCGGTACTCCATAATTTGACGGTAAGTGCTGATCGTTATCATTTGTTCATTATTTTTTAGATAAATTAGATTTGTTATCTTAGATAATTTAAGATCTGTGCCGTCTTAATGTACACTATTGTTGTAAAATGAATGAAATGCCTGGCTGTTCAAAGAAATTAGAAGCACAGTTTACTGATTCCGTTCATAATCCTATGGCAAAGAAACCAGAAGCCACAGATCATTATGTTCATATTCGATGGAATCTTATATACATGCAATAAGGTTCATATCAATTTTGATTTGGAATCCAAGGGGTTTTAGCTTAAATAAAACTTAAAAAGTGAAATAATCCGGAAACTGTTCTTGAAAAATTAATAAAATAAATATTTAAAAAATAGAGGATTTATTTATGGATTTAGGATTTAAATCCTTTTTTGCAAGTGGATTTAGGATTTATGATTTAAATCCAGATAACGTAATGGATTTATGATTGAGGATTTAGATCCAGTTTATGGTGTGGATTTATGGATTTAGATTTAAATCCTTTTTGCCGGATCTTGCCCATCCCTGAGTAAGACACGCTCTTGGCTGACATATTTCTATATACGAACTATATATGTTGAAAAAGTCGACTATAGAATAGATTTCTTCATAAGCCTAGTGAATTGATAAACAGATGGCGCTAATATATTGTGTCAAATTTACAAATATACATACAGGGTGTCCCAAAAGTCAACGATATCCTTTGAAGGACTCATAGGTCAGCTCATGACTAATCAGAATATCAAAACATGACCTTGGTAAAAAATCATTAGTTTCATTGTCATTTTTATTCATTAGATATTGTCATATTATCATTAGATATTGTCATTTTTATGAATTTTGTGAAACTTGACACAAAAACCCTGAATAGGACTGCTATTAATTACAATTCAAAATTAAATTAGTAGCAGATTTTGTAGCTGTGGCACTCGAAAAACTAATCTAAGGTGTCAAGTTTTACAAAATTCATAAAATGTCAAAAACTAACGATTTTTTACTAAGGTCATATTTGTCATATTTGTCATGAGTTGGTCTCTCAGTCCTCCAAAGGATCTCGTTGACTTTTGGGACACCCTGTATAAAGATGATATTTTATTTGACTTAAGTTTAATGTGAACTTCTACAGTACAACTTGATTATAAATAACATCTATCAAAATTGTAAAAAACTTTAAGGGCCCCCCCCTAGACGAATTTCTTCCGGCGCCCATGTGTGGGTCCCATATCTAATAACTGAGATATCGGTATACCCAAAATCCACCAGCCGCCACTGATGTGTGGTATTATTTGATTTTAAGATATTTAATGTATAATATGCTCAAAGTTGCAATAAATCTTATATTTTTTTGTATTTAATTAGTACCCTGGTATACTCGTCACTTCCCTTGCATTCAAATTTAGAAAACACAGATATTTCAGAAACTGTCTGGAACAGTATATTTATTATATTATCTATGTTCTCATAACAAAATACTGTTTAATTTTCTCCGAAAACTATAAACAAAATGAGGTCAAAAGTTGCCCAACTTTTGTAGAATCACCCATATATACATATATATATATATATATCAAAAAGTTTTAAAAAGTTAAAAAAAAAGTTTAAGATCTTTAATTCGTCCTTTTAAAAACCACTTATTATTCTGTTAATTGAAAAATTCTTTTTTCTTGTATTAAAAATGAACAAATCATTTTTGTTAAATTAGTATTCAGGACATTTAATTTACTTTTTATGCTGTATTAATTATAAGCGTGTAGACGACACTTATCAACTTTACACAGGCGTTTAAAAAAAATATTTTACAAAAACGTTTAATATTAAAGTTTTTACCAAACTTGGGGTAATCTAACTTTTTATCACAACTTAAAAATAAAAATTTAATCATTTTTTTTTATAAATACATGTGGTCGACATTGTCAATGCAACGTGGTCTTAGATACACGTTACCAAGGTGTTTGCTATGTAAATAAGAGTTTTGATTGGCCATAAAAATGTACGAGGTGTTTTCAGAAAATAACGGGAATTGTTATATTTCGCGGGTTCAGAGGGTCCGGTTGTCATAAAATTTTCCTTATTATGTTGGTATACATGCCCCCGAAGTATGATAAAAACTTTAGCTGTTTTCATTGTTTACTTTGTCTGTGGCAGCCGCTAAGGTTAGACGTGTTTTATGAGCTCGGCGATTTTTCGTTAGTTAAAAGAAATGGATCAAGGAATTTGTATCCAATTTTGCTTAAAAAATGAAATAAATTCTGTGAAATGTTAACAAAGGCCTTTAGTGAGTCTGCTATAAGTAAAACAAGAGTTTACAAGTGGTATAAGAGTTTCCAAGATGGCCGTGAAGACGTTGAAGATGACGAACGCCCCGAACGCACAAGCACATTAACAACCGATAAAAACATGGAAAAAAGTGGAAGAAATGGTTATAAACCATCAGAGAAGTCGCTGATGATGTTGGTATATCGATTGGCTCATCCCCTGAAATTTTTTCGAATGTTTTGGGTATGAAACGCGTGGCAGCAAAATTTGTTCTAAAATTGTTAAATTTTGAACAAAATTTTTGGCCAAAAACAATACTGTAATGATGCCCCAGCCTCCATATTCGCCAGACATGCCTCTGTCTGACTTTTTCCTATTCCCAAAAATAAAGAGAACCTTAAAGGGCCGTCGTTTTGCAAGCATGGATGACATTAAAAGCGCATCGCTGAAAGAACTAAAGGCTATCCCAAAGATCGAGTTTTAGAAGTGCTTCGAGTATTGGAAGAAGAGCTGGCACATGTGCATAATATCCAATGGGGACTATTTTGAAGGCGACAACATTGATGTAGACGAATAAATAAATATTTGTTTCAAAAAACGAAAATTCCCGATATTTTCTGAACACACCTCGTATAAGGAAAAATATGAAATTTTCCATCTCTAAACCATAATAATTAATTCAGCACTGAAAAATGTAAAACCCAGTGAGTGTATAAAGAGCAGATTTGCTAAGTACGCAATGTTAAAAATCATACGAGTTTTGACTGTTAAATTCAATTTTTATTTACTAATTTGAATGCATTTCTATTTTAAAATTTAAGCATGCGAGATACTTTTAACGATATATAAATTATTTTACGACCTCACCACTACTAAAATAGTCAATAAAAATTTTACGATTGCATTTTCCTTAATATTTATACTTATGGTATTTCAATAAAAACCTTACTAAGTATACTTACTTTTACTAATATTTGGTTCTACGTATCCCAGAAGAAACAAACTGGTAAAAAAAAGTTTGAAAACAAAAATGTTTCTAAAGGACAATGCCATTATGCCCACTTTGTTATTAAAAACACTTTGTTGTTACACATTATTTAAAACAATATTTTTTCACAATGTGAATTCCAGGAATATTTTCACATGTCATCTTGTGGAAGCATGTAAATCTGAAACAAAAAAAAACATTAAACTACTTAAACTTAACTAAAATTATATTAAAGTTTTCCCCTTATCAATTAGTGAAAATGATTAATATAACCTCAAAGTTGCAACTACTCGACTTAAAGTTTTGGAATGTATAGCAATTTAATATTTACACAAACTTTATCTTATTTTACTAGAGGTGCATAATTTTGCTTCGAGTATATCGCGAATCCGATTCGAGAACCAAGGCACGTACTCTATGTCCTAATTAATTTTCGTAGAATTTAATGACTTTTGCATATTAGTTTTCATCATACATCATTACTGTAATTTGTACAAGTCCAAGACAGTACTATCTAAAAATAAATTAGTCAAAAATTCCTAGTTAAAAGTCTAGGTTAACCTATATGTTTTCAAACATCTGAGGTAGTAAAAGCATACTAAAAATATCAGTTTACTAAGTAAATTAAACACATCCAAAGCAATCGAATCAAATATAAAACATTATTAAAAATTTAAAGAAATAATTTTTATAACCATTTATGTAGGTTTCTATCCTCCGTGAATCTGTTTTTGCTTTAAATTTTATGCAACGGATGGCGCTTTAATCATTTTAAATAAGCAAAAACCTCTGTTTACGACATCATAGATGCATGTAATTTTTGAAGGTCAGTTAGAATTTATATGCAGATGAGAGTGTTGCTGTTTTATAATTCAAAAGTTTAAGTTCATTAATTTGCTATTTAAAAACCTATCCACCGTGAAGTGTAATATCTCAGTAAGTAGATTTTTTTTATAAATATTTTTTGTATGTACAATTGTATTTTTAAAATATATTAAGGTGTTAAAAAGATACAATAACTTATTTCAAATATACCCTGTATAAAACATAATGGGCTTGTTAAATATGGAGTAGAAAAAATAAATAATTAATTGTTGCAGGTTATTATCCCATGCTGCAGACATTCCATATGCTATTTAATTAAAATTTCAAACCGATGTTTCATAGAACGGCGTTTCATTAATTTTCAATTAAAATATTTTATTAATGCAACCATACAAAACATTTGATTTGAAATTAATGAAACATTTGCAGGGTTTATTATTAGGATTAAGTAATATGGGTTTTTAAATATACGCTAATAGGTGATTCTAAAAAAGTTGGACATCAACAAATATTTGAGTGATTTTATATTAAAATATATTCAATTTATCTTAAATTGTTCAATTTCACTACAAACTATAAAACATTAAATAATGTATTTTTCATATTTTATCATAGAATCGAATAATAGCAATTTTTAAAAAGTTGATAAGTACTGTGGTGAGTAGTTATTTTCTTACATATATATATTTCATTGTAATTTATATAAGGCTATATGTGATTTGTTGATAAGTAGCATACACTAATAAAAAATATCAGTAAAATACTTAATTCCGAATTATAATCTCAAATTTGTATCCCATTCATCAGTACCGTGTCGTCAGTTCCATGTTCGATGTTTCGGTATTTTTTTTTCGCAAACTTCAATTTAAATTCTGCTTGCGCAGAACTTTTTTATTTAATGTCATTATAAACTCATATAAATTTGGTGTGGGTCCCATATTTAATATTTGAGATATCGGTATACCCAAAATCCACCAGCCGCCACTAATGTGTGGTATTATTTGATTTTGAATATGCTCAAAGTTGCAATAAATCTTATATTTTCCAATAAATTATGTATTTAATTAGTACCCTGGTATACTCGTCACTTCCCTTGCATTCAAATTTAGAAAACACAGATATTTCGGAAACTGTTTGAAAAAGTGACTGGCCCGGTCTGGAACAGTATATTTATTATATTATCTATGTTCTCATAACAAAATACTGTTTAATTTTCTCTGAAAACTATATAAACAAAATGAGGTCAAAAGTTGCCCAACTTTTGTAGAATCACCCTAATAACAAATATAGCTAAAATTAAATAATATTTTATTAAAACAATATCTCAATAATTCAACATCTACGGGCAGTATATTCGCTGCCATGTTTTGGTTTAATTAACAATAATTTATGGACATGTTATTTTTAGCGGTATTCGATTTTACATTTCTCATGTTAAACAAAGAGGGAAGTGATGTATGATCGATGTAAATTTATTAACATATAATAGAGCGCGACTCTGCCATCTGGATTCTAAGGGTAAATCCGTTCAATATATCAAAACGAATAAGACATTAAACGAAATATATTATTCCCAAACCCCAGATGTCTACCATTTAACACTATTTTAACAACTCGTATTTTAGTCTTATAAGTGTATTCCATTTAAGAATAAAGCGTTGGGTTGAATAGGATTTATTTTAGCTTAAAGGAAAATTAAAAAGTTTCAGTGTAACATTAACATCCGAAGAAACAGGTATTTCAAAAAAGGCAACCTAATATGATAGATTTTATTAAAAAATATGTAAGAATGGCAAAAAAATTTTGAAATGTTTTATTCCCTCTAAAAATTATTAATTCTCCCAAAGTCCCCAGGTAGGTTATAAGTAATTCAGGATTTACTTTGAACTTTTATAAAACGTTAAGGGTTTTATTAAAAAAAAATCACGATTTCTACTTTTGATTTGAACGTTACGGTAGCTGAGCTACCAAGTATTTTTTATTGATAAATTGAAAGTGAATTTAAAATTTTATAATACTCGTATATAAAAAATATTATTTATACATAGAGGGCTTGGCCATGCAGTGTACTGCGATTGCATGTTTTCTAAAATCACGAGGTAACTTTATATATATCGACTTAATTGTAATTAAATTATAACACCAATCTGGGTAATATACACCCTCTGTATTTTTAATGTATTACGTTTACTTGTGTTGCCTTTTAAACCCTTTTTACATCGACCTTTAATCCACAAAAAAACGCCCCAATCTACTTATCAATCACACCACTATAAATCGCGATTAAATTGCCCATATCCATTAAGTTTATTAACGTGCCTTGAAAAAAAATCAAAGCTTTCAGACCCAATTTTCACCGAGAGGCAGTGTTTTTTTTTGTTAATTTATATTATCCATTTACCATTAAAAATTTCCATTGTAATTTTAATAAACATTTCTTAGTTTCTTCAAGAAACTTTCTTGACCCATTTTTGTTCGTGCGTTCCACCTTATCTTACCTAGTAGATTTTCCAAATGTCTTGGAAGATTACTCAAATTGTACGAGGTGTGTTCAGAAAATAACGGGAATTGTTAAATTTCGCGGGTTCGGAGGGTCCGGTTGTCATAAAATTTTCTTAATTATGTTGGTATACATGCCCCCGAAGTATGATAAAAACTTTAGCTGTTTTCATTGTTTACTTTGTCTGTGGCAGGCGCTAAGGTTAGACGTGTTTTATGAGCTCGGCGATTTTTCGTTCGTTAAAAGAAATGGATCAAAGAATTTGTATCCAATTTTGCTTAAAAAATGAAATAAATTCTGTGAAATGTTAACAAAGGCCTATAGTGAGTCTGCTATAAGTAAAACAAGAGTTTACAAGTGGTATAAGAGTTTCCAAGATGGCCGTGAAGACGTTGAAGATGACGAACGCCCCGAACGCACAAGCACATTAACAACCGATAAAAACATGGAAAAAGTGGAAGAAATGGTTATAAACCATCAGAGATGTCGCTGATGATGTTGGTATATCGATTGGCTCATCCCATGAAATTTTTTCGAACGTTTTGGGTATTAAACGCGTGGCAGCAAAATTTGTTCTAAAATTGTTAAATTTTGAACAAAATTTTTGGCCAAAAACAATTCTGTAATGATGCCCCAGCCTCCATATTCGCCAGACATGCCTCTGTCTGACTTTTTCCTATTCCCAAAAATAAAGAGAACCTTAAAGGGCCGTCGTTTTGCAAGCATAGATGACATTAAAAGCGCATCGCTGAAAGAACTAAAGGCTATTCCAAAGACGAGTTTTAGAAGTGTTTCGAGTATTGGAAGAAGAGCTGGCACATGTGCATAATATCCAATGGGGACTATTTTGAAGGCGACAACATTAATGTAGACGAATAAATAAATATTTGTTTTAAAAAACGAAAATTCCCGATATTTTCTGAACACACCTCGTATAGTGAAAATGCAAACAGAAGTTGTAAAATAAATAATGATTTGTATATTTCCAAACACTTATTGTAATTCAAATAGCAAATTTTGGTTAGTAATTTTATTGATTACACTGTGCAACACCAAAAATCAAACCGCACCGGACTATTTTTTTCTGAAAATATACCTATCCAATAGCAAAACCCTCGCTGGGTTTGTAAAAGTTAGCTCGATTTATTTTTTTATGGCCGTTTGTATTTTCTAGCTTCATATACCCCAATTTAGACTTATTAATCGATTTTGTTCGCATATATTCGATTTATATCGTTAAGATTTTTTATAGAAATGTAGTTACTGAACAAATAAACCCATTTTATGAACAACCTATATCCCAAAATCCAATTTTTGGGACCAAATATTCGAAAAATTATTTTTTTTTCAATTTTTCGATAATATTTAAAATTTCTTGCTACTTCTTCTGGCAAAAATGTTGTAAAGTATACTAAAAGAAGTAATTTATAAAATACGCACACAAAACTGAACTTTAAGTTTACTTATTTGCTGGAAAACAATTTTTAAACAAGATTTTCCAAAATATTCATCTTTTCAAACTCAACACCAAATTTTTTGCCAAAATCTTTGGAAAATCTGTAGGAAAAATTTGAATAGATAAAATAGAATTGTAGAAAAGTACAGAGAGTTTGATTTTTTATTTTGTATTAATTTTATTATTAAAAAACTTTTTTATATCAAAACATTGAGTAATCTGATTCATTGCTGGAGAATTCCATCCCTTCCACTTCTTCTCCTTTATTTTCTTGTTCTTCATTTTAATTTTTTGATTCATCACTGGAGAATTCCATCCCTTCATTTCATATTCGGAAATTGGTAAAGTATGAAGACTTTGACAGAGAGAAATCATCATTGGAATTTTAGGCAAACATCGT